CACTGGGGACATGCCTCCCCTACTCCAGAGATTCAAGGAGCCCGTGGAGGGCGAGGAGTTCAGCACAGCCTCCCCAAGCACTTTGGTGTGGTTCTTGACCTTTCCCTGGGCATGTGTACAGAACAGAAATGCCAAAACAAACTGGGCTGCTATGGCCTGTGTTCTCTCCTCTCCCTCACCAGCCATATGACTCTCTGGGGCTCTGCTGGGACACGTTCATGCCCAGATCTGCCAAATCCTGCTGCTCTTCCTGATGATCTGTTCATGGCCACCCCTAAACCTGAGGATGGGGCAAAGCATGGGAGCATCCTGTGGGGACAGGACTGGCACAGGGAGCAGAGTGGTGGGTTAGAGCGGGCAAAGGCTGGAAGGGGACTCAGCCACCTGGCTGGGGTCCACAGTAAAAACTGTCACCAGTAACTACTACTTTAGGTGTCCATGCAAGCGTGTGCATGCGTGTGCGTGAGTGAGAGTGAGTGAGAGTGCGTGTGACGGGAGTAGCTCAGTGGTTCTCGAACTTTGCTACATTTCAGAATCAACTGAGAGTTTAAAGTTCTCCTGCCCTCCATACTAAGTCAGAACTGCAATTTTAAAAAGCCCCAAGTGATTCCAATGTGCAGCCAGGTTTGAGAACAGTGGACTAGAAGATTTTTTTTGTATATTAGGATGTTTACAAGAGAGACTCCCTGAGTGCTATGCCTGGAGGGGAGGAGCCTTTTCACAGTTAGAGCTGCAGGCAGTATGGGTGAATGGTTTGCAGAGGTAGGGAGTTATAAAATCTATTTCTAAAGAGCATTGCCATCACAAAGCACTTTAGATAGGATCTAGTCCAGTCTCTGACAGTTGCAGAGACCCATAGAGGAGCAGTGACTTGTCCAAGATCGCACACCAGGCAGCGGTAGATGCCAGGCTGGGCTCCTGCCACGGCACAAGCTGCAAGGTGAAGTGTGTGTGTGTACGTGTGTGTGTGTGTAGGTGGTGTAGGCATGTGCATACATGTGTGTATGTCTGCGCATGTGCATATGTGTATATGCATGAGTGTGCATGCGTGTGGTGCATGCCTACAAAGAACTTCACATGAGGGTATCTAACATTCTTCCATTTGCAATGAGCTCAGCAAAGGAGCAGGATCCAGGCAAACAGGGTTTGCCGTGTAACACCCTGGAATACCCAGCATTTTTGCATGTGTTGTAACAGGCCAGCGGAAATTCTGGCTAAAACTCCAACTTTAAGCCAAGATACATTGTAAAGAAACAAGAATTGGTTCATGTGAAGTTTAATTAGTATGTTTCACTGCTGGAACAAGCTGAAGCACAAGTACCCTTCGCCATCTCCCATCTCAGCTTTGGTCCCAAGAAAACAACCCACAGTGATGTCTGTTCACAGTCTGTGGTCGGGAAAGGGCAACTTTCAAGTGAGTAGAATGCTCAGGCAGAGGTTCATGCTGAGACACAGACAGACACAAATACAAAAAGCCACCAAAGGCAGAGGCTCCCAAGGCTAGCTCCTTCACCATGCCCTCTGTGGAGCTGGCACAAGCCTGCCCCCTAGGAGGACCTGAACACACGCAGGAACCATGGAAGAGGAGCAGGCATCTCCCCTGGCCCAATGTCGCCGCCACCCCCTATCTCCTACCAGAGAGAAATAGAGGTTTGGTAATTTTAGCTGGGAAATGGTACTTTCAGAAGAAGAAAGAACTTCAGGCCCAAGGCTGAAATAAGAACCCACAGACATCTAAGCAGGCAGCGAGACACAAACAGGGCAACGGCACCGGTGTTAGGCTTTCCCTGGAAGGAGAAGTGATAGGAAGCTCCTTTCGTTGAACTCTGCGTGGGATGTGTGTTCAGAGGTGGGGGGTGGGGGGAAGGGCGAGGGGTTGGGATCGGAACAAATAAGATTTGGGTTTAGCTTCAGAAAGAGATTCCAAGTGAAGTTATAAAGACCTGGAAGGTGGAAAAGTGTTGTTGTTTGTTTTTTTCAGGCTGGATAACTACTGTGCCAGACAGTTACCCCCACCCAGGGCAGCTCATCATCAACCCTGGAGGGCCTTACCCCACCTCAGAGAGGTCAAGTCTCCCTAGCTAAGTTCTTTTGCTGAGTGGCCACTTCCCCTCGGTTTCCTGTTGCCCCCCACACAGTCTGGAAAGAAAAGTACCCCAGACACCCTGATGCACACAGGGACACTCTGAAACAGAGGGGAGCAATACTTCGGGGCCAGTTCAAGATGGGTAGGCACATTCAGAGCAACCTCCTGTGCAGAGTCTCCAGGCCACAGAGACCCCTTCCCCCGCCCAGGGACTTCGTGACCAGGGTGAGGTGCCTGTCTGATCTGCCGTGTTTCAGGGAGGGCATGGGTGGAGACGGGCATTTAATGCCAAGCTCCTTCCCTGGAGGTCCTTCTTCGGGCTCTCAGTGGCTCAATTCAGCCTCATGACAAGACAGAAAAGAGCCTAGTGGGGAGGACTCCGAGGAAAAACTGATTCTATCACCAGGACCACAGGTGGCCGACTTGGCTGTCCTTCATGGGGTACAAGGAGCGGTGGCCACTCTGCCAGGCAATCTGTGGAGTGTGGCTGATCTTCTTTAGAGTGGAGTCTCTTAAGTACGTGGGGGTCTGAATGGGATTCAGGGGGCCCAGGAGGATCAAAGACGCTAGAGAAACTCTCTTTTTTCTTGGAGGAAACTAAAGGAGAATTTGAGTCTATCCAGGGGGAAAGGGGAAAGGTCTGGGTCCTTCCGTGTCTGCCAACTCATCCCTACTGGGAACTATAGCAGGCTCACAGCACACAAAAAGAGAAAAACACGGGAAAAGAGGGAGCAGAGTGACTAGAGTTGGCCACAGAGCAAACAGGGAATGCTTGGGCGTTGCCAATGGAGAGGACAGAGAAATTTGATGAACACAAAGCCAGATAAACCAGAAACACCAGCTCCAAGTGACCAAACCGCCTCTTCCAGTGAGGAGGACGCCGCTGGGGAGACTGGCCCCCTTTGGGAGCCTCCCCAGAGGCTGAGGGTGGAGAGGACACGCCCCACAGGATCAGTCCTTGGAGAGGTTCTGGAGACGTATGCATTAGCCATCAGGGTTCACTCACCTGGCGGCTCAAGCCCCGGGGGAAACTTGGGATGGAGAAACAAAGAGGAAATAAATGGGAACCTCATCAGATGGATGTCACTCCCCAAGACCAAGGCCAGAAACAGCACTTCATGACCACAGACACTCAGCCAGTATCCGCATATGTGGGAAGAAGAAAGGGTGTTTGGGGCACCCAGTCTGACATTGTTCTGGAGCTGTGAGCCAGGAGCTCAGGCTGGGATCGGGTGTGAGTGGAGACGAGACAGGCAGGTCTTGTGCAGAGAAGAGAGAAGGGTGGCTTGAGCTGTGCCCTGGGCTGTGGCCAGAAGTGGGGGCACTTTGTTATTCCAAACCTACATCCGAAAGAGGCTAGTAAGCGGCTACCAAGGCACTAAGTAAAAGGGAAGGAGGCAGGTCCTCTGGAGGTTGTATGACCTCAAGTGGAAATCTGGCGGGAGAGGTGCCAGGAGCCGGCACGAGAGCAAAGGGCACAGAGAGCAGCAAAGGCCTTCAGTCTGGGTGCGGGGAGTCCTCTGCCAGCCGTTTTCTCTGCCCCCGCCCCACACAGGGGCCACTCAGGCATGGGGGTGAGGGGACACGACAGAAGCCAGAGGTAGAAAGTGTGAGCTGGGGTTTGGTGGGAGAACGGTGGGGGTCTGTCTCCTTTGTCTCCTTTTTCTCTACTACCCCCTGACCCTCACTCTCTCATAAGGGCCGGACTTAAAAAGTCTTGGTTGGCCTCTACTGGTTTGCAGCGTGCAGAGTCTTTATTCGCATTTCACTAAATTTAGCTAAATGAAAAATAAACAAATCGAAAGTTTCATTTTAATAAAACTTTCTTCCTGGGGACCCTTTGTGTTAAAGCACTTGGTTTAAAACTTGTCCACGAATGCCCCTGTCAGGTCCTGCAACTTCCTCCTTGTTTCAGGGGTCCTACCCCTTTCTTCTGGGGGACCTTGTCATTCACAGAGGCTGGTGGAGGGGGGTAGGGCGTCAGACCCAAACCCGGATTGAAAAAGTACCAGTGAGGGCTCAACCGAAGTCTTCCTGCATCTAGGGTGTTTCCAACCCTGCCACCCTCATTCCCGACGCTCCCCAGGAGACACTTGTCCCTACTTAAGCTGGGCGGGGTAGGGAGATTCCAGTGGGAAAGGGGGTTCTGCATTAGCTATTAGGGAAAGAGGGCATCCCCACCCCCTTCCCTGTCCTGGGGCGCGCTGGCCTTGTGGGGGGGCCACCTTCGAACCAGACTTGCCTCTTCCTGCTGTGAGGCTCTCGCTAAAGTGCTGCGGAGTTCCAGAAACTTATCCCGCTCCTCATGTCACCTCCCCAATCCGAAGCGTCTCTCCTGAGCCCACACTCCAGTCTCAGTGTTGCCCTCACCCCGTCCACCGCCACACACGGGCCCCACCCAGACTCGGATGTCACTCGGCCTGGGTGAGGGGCGACGGCCGCTGGCTGAAGGCGCAGGGCATCGCGAAGCCCGGGGAGGATGAGGTGTGAGCGCTGGGCCAAGGCCACCAGGACAGCTGGGGCAGGAAAGGATGCGGGGTCGGTCCCCGGGGCAGGATTGGGAACAGAAAGACGTCTAGACCCAGGGATGCGGGCCGGAGAACGGCTCGCGGGTGATCTCAGCCTCCCAGCGCGTCCTTGGAGAGATGCTCCTGGCTGTGTCCCCTCAGTGAGCCACCCACCCTTGCCCACCAGCGCGCCGTCGAGCTCATGGAGTCCGGTGGCAGGCCGTGGCTCCATTCTGTTGGAACCGGCCTGGAGCTCGGCTGCTTGCAGTTGGAGCGGACCCTGCCCGGGGCCCGCAGCCCCTCACCTCCCTGCAGCCCCGGGATGCGCGCGCCCCTCGGTCCCCGCCACCAGGCCGTGGCGCGCCGGGAAGGGGCGCACAGAGCACGCGGGCGCCGGGCCTCTTTACCTCGGTTGGAGTGGCTCAGGGTGGACGACTGGGAAGACTTGGACTTCTGCCGCTTGAAGGTCATCATCACCTGCTCCTGCACGCGCTGCCTGCCCGACGTGCCTGTCTTCATCTTTTGGTCCGACGGCAGGGCCAGCGTGGAGTGGTCCTGGTTCTGGAAGCATTCGTACGCCAGGGCGGTCTTGAGCGGCGAGTGGTTCATGGTGGCTGGGGGCGCGCGCGGGCCGGGGCCTGGGGCG